ATTAGAAGTACGTGGACCTTGTCAATTCAAAATTTTTACCTATTACTATTTTTTTTTTAAACCTGTTCAGATAAATCCAGTTTAAGGTGAAATTTGATAATCTGTCAGTTGATAACAAAGTATAGCCTATATGCAATCATTGTTCAGTTGAGAATATCTACATGTTTAATTTGTGTACACAATACATAGCATGTACCTCGCACTGTCTCGACTGTGTATATCAGTATATACAAACTACACTATACTGTACAGAAGATTTTTCTGGGTTAGCATTGATATATCTTATTAGATAAATCATGATCCTTATAAATCACGAAACAAAAGCCCCTAATCAGTCTGTCAGATGATCTGTAATGGATACGTAACATTATATCAATATTATCCAGGTTACACTGACTTTTGATATACTTCACATAGATTTTAGTATATCTTTATCAGTGATAGTAATTCAATCTTTTTTCTTCCTTTTTTGTGTGTGTAAAGGTATAAAGGTAGTTTCTCTGACACCTGACATCAGTGGATGTCAGTATGGATTAATCATAATATCTATAATACAAATAGATTCATTCAATATAAGTTTTCTTTGTTGAATAATATTACCAATAATTTCACATGATTACAGCCATGACCATAAGTTTATAAAGCCATTCCCATGTTACCAATTCATAATAAAGTGCAGTGTGTCTGAAGGAGTGTGTAAGTACTAAGTGTAATTAGTTATACCATCATAAGGAAGTTCTCCATAGTTTTCATTTTAATGTTATCAAATATCAATAAATTATTCATAAAAGGACACTTTTAAAAACAGTATGAACAACAGAGTTTGAAGAATTAGCATATATAACTTGATATGTTGTATAAATTAACTATTTTTTAAAATTGTGATCCTGCAAGTTACCATATTTTTAATTCAGCCATTTCATACAAGACATATAATGCTTTCTTTGTAATAGGAGATATACAGTACCACTGTTAATATTACATAAAAAAAACCAATTTTGATACCAAATGCTATCTATTACTCCATACCTGTTAGAAATAATATCAAATTAAAAACAAATCTCCTCATAAAGTTTTTGTGTGTCTACCTACCGGTATTTAATTCTTTCAAGACTGCAATATTGATAATATTTTTAACCATAACATTCAAACTATAAGAAATGAAACTAAAATTCACAGTCTACATATACCTTGAGCCTTAAACCATACATATACTCTATAACATGCTTTACTAAAAGGTCACATGCCATTCTAATATTGACACTCAAAAACATTGCTAACACATTGATTATATTCAGATGGAATTCATATCAGCAATGAATGCCTAAACCAAAATTATTGTTTATTTTTATCTTATTACAGCAACTACAAATATAGAACAGGAATCTTTGATACACATTTCTTTAGATTTGTCTTTTCGCAGTTGTCATTTAATTGAACTTTGAATGTCAAATGAAAGCAGTGTGTATAATAAAGTTCTAACATACATCCCCTAACAACAAAGATATTGGTGGTCAATACCACACACAGAGATGTTGAACAGAATAATTATTGACTTGGTGACCTGGTACCTTGTTTAACAGTATATATATAGATAAGGTATACGTTACAGAGAAGAAATCAGTAGATGCCATTATTTTAACAAAAAACCAAAATGGTATGGTAATTAGAAATAATATAGTGTGTATTATTCCAAGTGGGTTGTGTCATAGTCACAATAAATTATCATTAGTATATACTCTTTTATAACAACTTATCTATGTCATAAACTGACTGTTTTTTATTGTCATTTCTGTTTTTTCTTTTCCCTTAAACATTACTTCCTATATAAGCTTATCATTATATTTTACATGACTTGTCTTATCAAACAAGTATTATGGAGACTTAAAATTCATACAGTTACAGAGAATCACGATAACACTTCCATATTTTGACTTACTATTGCATTGACAGATAGCAGAACTGAGAGAGTTTGGGTACTAGAAGGATAAAATCGTCAGTCATGGTACGTGTCTCGTGTTGTAATACCGCGGGATTAGTGCGGACACGCAGTGGGGTTACAATGCCTGATATCTGGTATTACAAGCAACCCTAGAATTTCTATAAGCTGAGTAAATACAGTAGGTAACTTAATTATTATCCTAGATAGCTCAGTAGATCCCAGGCATACAAACAGAGACTACCTACACAAATGTAGACAGCTTTTAGTATTAACTAAAACCGTGAAGATTTTAAGTCAGGGGCCAACAGATAAAAACAAATATAGTATAATCATACTTAAATTTCAACTAAATATCACGTACTCTTAAGTTTTGATATGTTGAGGTATACCTTACCAATAACTTCTAGTACACCATATAGTGTATTTCTACATGACCTATTTAATGATTCATAACCTATTTAACTTTACTGTACTGATACAAGACATATCTAACATTGTTGTAATTGTTACATGACCTATTTAACATCACTGAACTGGACATATGACCTACTTAACTTTACTATACTGATACATGACCTATTAGAATTAACTGTACTGATACATGACCTATTTAATTTACTATACTGATATATGACCTATTTGTCTCAAGTGCACTGATACATGACCCAGTTAACTTTACTATACTAATACATGACCTATTTGATTCAGCTGTACTGATATATGAGCTATTTAATTTACTGTACTGATACATAACCTATTTAATTTACTGTACTGATACATGACCTATTTAATTATACTGATACATGACCTATTTACTTTTACTGATACATGACCTATTTAATTTTTCTGTACTGATATTTGACCTATTTAACTCAGCCGACTGATACATGACCTTATTACTTAACACCCTACACAGAATTCATACATGTTTACTAATCATTATTATTTTTAATATATTTTTAAGTGCATAGTCTTTTGAAATTTGATGTGGTTTCACAAAGCACATACCTAAGATGCAAGGCATCTTCATACATTCTGTATTATCTTAGAGTTCTAAAGATTTCAGAATCGTATTAAGAATGTTGGGGTGGAGGGGAAATCTGCTCCCAATGGTATGCAATGATGGTGGCAAAAAGATCTTAATAAACCACTCTCAACTCATCAGTGCGTCATGGAGATGATTATCATTCTGCCCTATCGTATGGAATATTTTTATTTTTTCTAATAAAACATTCATGTTTTAGATAAGATCATACAGAAACTGCCATTTACACTTAGCCTGTTTTATGACTACAAAACACTATGAAGTATTTAGTAATGCTATCTGTCAAGAAGGCAGCAATGTGGCTACCACGTTTGTTACCTGTATGTCCCTATACACCTGCCAAAAGTTCCAGTAGAGAGACATATTGATCAGCTCCCCCCTTATCACACCGTTTACGCCCCATTGTTTTACTAACTCTCACAGGCCCAAAATAACTGTTGAACATTCTCTTACGATTTACAAACTTTCAATGGCGTTTTTTGAGGTCGTTAAAGTTAAAAAAGGACTATAAATTCTGCGATTGTTGACTGTGTCACACATTCAGGGTAGAAGATCAAGTAGACGTCTTATCAACATTTACATAAGAATTGGACGTAGTGGAGATTTTCTAAATCAAACACTTCACAGTTTAAGTCCAGGTCTGGATTTATAACGTCATTGCACACAGGACGAATATATCACCGAGCCAATCCCTGCTGGGCAATGTTTACACCTGTTTTATCTATGATGCTGCATATTCATACAGTGATTAAAACTTTTTACTATTAAATAACTCATTAAAACTGAATTTACACACACATGTTGGCAATAATGAATTCACATATCTTTGATTATTACACACAAAATCTATGGACCAGTTTTAATTCTAAACTCAAACATTTCAAATGTCTATAAATAAGAAAATTTAAAAGGACGATAAAATATTTTGAACAATCAATACAGATTTATCAATAAATTAATTGATTTCTGAAATATAAATATCCTGCGGTAGAAAGAATCACTTTCATTTCATGACCCACAGCTCAGTCTATCAATAATACAGCTACATCTACTATCAATCAGTTGAAATATCATAATGTAACTGTAAATAGGGAATGTGATTTATATAGACATTTAAATGTATTGATATATTTTATGACATGACAATAAATTTACTCTGATTGCCACTCAACTCCATAAAGTAAGTTGCCGGTGTCGATCAAATGAATGCAGGCAGACAAGTTAATTCTGATTTCTAAAGTTTGAGATTTTCTCAAGTTTCTATCTAAGCTACATGTCAGTTGAGAAGATAAGAAGTTCAGATTCAGACTGAATTTTTGGACAAATTCCTGTCCACAGAGAGAGGTGAATCTCTAAAATGAAAAACCATGTAACCAACTCATCAGTACCTACCACAGAGAATTTTATTTTTTAAATGGTCAGATTTCAGGAAAATAATAAAAATGAAACCAGAAGCATGCACCATGTCTCTGGTGGAAGATTATTAGCAGCATAATTTAGGACATCATGTAGTTGAGAATGAGTTGTGAGGATGAGAATTTAGGACATAAGGGTGATGAGATGGTAGGAGTAATACTGCCCTCACCTTTGACACCTGTGAAGTAGTCACATTTGAAATGTATAGTGTCACCTATTGACCTTTTTCCCTTGATACCAGTTTCCTCCTATATAAAAACCCACTACTGCCCCCTTTTGACAAAAACCAGAATGACCAATGAAAGTTGGTATGAAAGCAAGGTTGAAGCTTATTTTTAGCTACATAGCACAGTTCCATGGCATCAGTTCACAAGACAGATGGACAGACAGACACCCAGGTTAAAGTATACACCTGTAATATTTACTTGGATGTCCATCTAGATATAAACAGTATCCTTAAAACAACAATGAAAATTAGCATGCAATTATGTGATGGACAGGTGGACAGACGTAGCAAATACAACTGTCCTCTCCAACCTCCGTTCTGATGGTGGGAGCATTACATATGACTTTTCATGATCACAGTAAAATGCTTACCTATAATATTCTTGCTCTACCACGGACCCGTAAAAAGCCTTAGACCAAGCTGAGTGATATCTTTCATGTTCTCTTCGTTGCATCAACTGACTTCTTTTATGATTATGTAAATGTTGTTCCGATGTTTCCCAGCTCATGTTTATGCGTCGTTTAGATGGAGGAGGAGCGAGTGGGTTGATCCTCCCAGGCACATACACATTGTCCATAGAGCTTGATAGCTCCCTAGGTGGGTAAGGTCCATATATAGAAGGGGTAGGTGGGGTGGAGAATGAGCGGGGCTGACTAGATACAGCACGGGGCACTGGTGTGCCGATCGGCGTAATCCTTGGCAGTGTTGTTGCCATGGTTACAGTTGTGGTCTATCTGTTAAAAATAAAGACACTATTTATGATCTAGCAGAAGGAGAATATAACAGTTCAATAAGTGTTCTCTTATGAAATTTTATCATTTGTAAAAGATGCCCAAGGGTCTTTTGATTTCTCACCCCATAGGAACTAAATATTGTTTGATTCCCATTTGATAACAAGATGAAAGTTGAAACTTTTAGTTCCCAAAAGTTTTAATAAGAAGAGGATGATGATAGACACAAAAGACAAGTTTAAATATTATGAACAAACTAATATGATATAGAGAATGACGAGATAATTGATGACAAGTACTTGCTTACTTGTACATCTAATAGAGGGTGACCATAATGCTGAACACAAGTATCATATAAGTGAAGATATCAATATCTTCATGACCACAGTGTTCCATTTCTAGTCAATGGGGGGAAAGTTTTAATAATGAGCACAATATTGAGGATGAGGAGGATATCAAGGATTAGAATTATATTGATGATGAGGGCAATGTTTAGATGAGTGCAATACTGAGGATGATCAATGAGGACAATATTAAGGATGATAATTATATTGAGAATGAGGACTATATTGAGGATGAGGATAACACTGAGGATGAGGACAATATTGAGGATGAGGACAATATTGATGATGAGGATAATACCGAAGATGAGGACAATATTGAGGATGAGGATAACACTGAGGATGAGGACAATATTGAGGATGAGGACAATATTGATGATGAGGATAATACCGAAGATGAGGACAATATTGTGAATGAGGAAACACTGATGATGGGGATAATACTGAGGATGACGACAATATTGTGAATGGGGATGACATACAACACAGAGAATGAGTATATATATAACAAAAACTGGTGTAATATTGATGATAATTGTTATACTGTAATATTACATACCAAATATCTATCATCAGCATGTTGTGTATATTTACAAACAAAAGCTGTCAATCTATGTATATATATCACAGTATGATGTACCTACTGGAGTTGTTCTATTAGAATTTAAAACAGAAAGTCTAAAATACAGGACAGGAAAAATACATGGGTTTTATATGACTGAATTTTGGAACTTTTAAGATGTCCCCAAAAACCATACAAAGTGCTCCCTGCTTTTACCAAACATGTATATAAAGAAAACTTGAAATAGTTTGTGGATAATTTGCTAAACATCTAGACTCAGTGTACTAGACAATGTTAGATTAAGCTATGATCTAATTATTATATCTGTTAGATGACACATATTGTAAAGTATATTTTTCCAAATTGAAAAAAGATAGTAGGTATAAGAATTTGATTTATGACAATATAGAGTTTAACGAGCAGGTAACCTTATACATTTTACACTATATCTATAGAGATCGTAACAGGTAACTAGAATACAGTCAGTCTGTGTTATCTCACTCTAGCATTATCTCAGTTATACACGATTTAATGATATGGTCTAATGATTACTAACAGTCATAATTAATATATATACCATATGTCTCAGACTACAAATGTATAGTAATATAATCAATTACAGGGGAAAATTGTCACAGCCATATAAATATACATAGCAATGACAGCGAGAATCAAACCATTAGATAGGCATAAAAAGTAAAAGTCAATTTATACTGACAAACACATATGAATGCAATATCTACCTATAGTACCTATGGAGTGTTAATTGATAAGAGTAATCTAAATCACAGGTGATATGATTATAATACTAAGACAGGTAAAAACAATCGAGGAGAAGTGGTCAATTTGACTTCCGAGGTAAATAAACATACTACCTGATAAAAACGCTTACATCCATACAGAATTACATTTAAATCTGGTATCTGATCAGACCGTTCACAGTTGACACACAGGTCTAATAACGTGGGAGTCCCACTGCCTAACCGAGTCACGTGATACAAACGTCGCTACGGTGATATCGCTAGCCTCGTTTACAAGCGGATTGAGTCGCGCAAAACGGATATCATTACGTCCTGAGACAAGGCCGGTGTTTATTTATAATTAGGCGTTCTATATTCATTGACTCATGAAATCACAGTGAATTACCAATAAAATGGCAAAACACAGGATCAGATTTAAATACACGTTTCAAATATACATATATATTGCCTTAACTAAGACATACCGGTATAAAAGAAATTAAAACGAGTATCTTCGCTAATATGATATATACATGTGTGTGTGTGTGTATATATATATATATAATATATTGACCAACAAAAGATATTCTCGATTGGATGATGATGATGATGATGATGATGATGATGATGATGATGATGATGATGGTGATCGAGAGGAGTGTTGATGTCTTCCAAAACCACTACACTCGACTTTGAACTCCGATTTTTTGGGGGAGTTGATGCCTAAGCCCAGCCAATATCGGAGTCGGACTGCGTATCTACCTTATTATTAATGTCATGTTTTCAAATGGCGGAAACAAAAAAGAGAGTATACCTTTTAAAGATTGGCACCAGGCAACTTCTTTGAGTGGAGGTTGCCGAAATTATGACGGATTTTTCCGAGATAGTTTATTTAACTTTCATCGGGGACATGTAATGCATAGTATACATGTATCCATGAATAGTTATGAAACGCCAGTTTCTCTAGGCTTACTGCATGGCGATGTACAAACAAATATATTAGGCCCGACGTGGGACGGGTTTGATGCCTTTAGTATGTTAGTTAGTTCCGTTGTTGTTTACTGGTTCCCATTTGATGTCGTAACACTGCTTACTTGAATGACCAAGATTAACATAATACATGGTGGATGTCGGCGATAAAACAGAAGACGCTTACCCTTCCGGAACACCCTATGCTCTTCTCCTTGTAATTGTTTAAACATGAATCTCAAGGTGAACTTTTCTTTTGTTCATGTTTAGTAATATTCTCATCAAATTTTAATTTGAATCCGGATCCTTTAGACATGTCGATTGTTTTGTTTATTTATTTATTTATCTATTTATCTATTTATCTAGGCTACTGTTAACTGACCATAGTGAAAACCTAAGCCTGTGGTGAAACTTTCATGAGCTAATGAGATATTTTCTAAATACTTCCAGTCATGCGAATGTATACGCCGTTATAATTACTGATGGATATCTTCAAAATCTGACTAAAAGGAGTCACAATGTTGGAAGAGTTATTTCCCCTGTAACAGCAGAAAAGTACCACACTAGTAGCAGTATGAAGGAGTTACAGCCCCTATATGAACGGGTCGCGCTCGGTAGTAATTTATCACTATTAGACTTTATATTGAACGTTTGGTGGTTCTGCTACTGATGAGACTACTGTCTGATACTAAGTTATATACAAAACACTTAACAATGTTGAAGTTTTTCAGCTAAAACAGTATTGTTGTGAAAACGACATGAGGATAGTGCAAAGTTATATGAACTAAGAAACGTCCTTTACCACCATACAATAAGATACAATTCAAAACCTAGACAGAAACATGTTTTAATCTTAGATGCAAGTGTTTAATATTGTCGGCACACAGCTCATACCGTATAACAATAACTTAAATATATATCAACATTTTAGTTCCTTAACTGATCAAATAAGACTATTCCACAGTTAATTTTCATATTCAAAAGTACAATGATAAACATGCTCACAATATCTGCATTGTTATTGAAGGACTGAACTGGGAACAAATCACAATTTTATTGGCTCTATAGATTCCTAAATAGCAATATATTACAATAAGTAAGAAATCGTCATTTTATTTCCAAAATTCATAATTTACATCCATTTTACTATCATAGCAATGGTTGTGCACTTTAGACGTGCTATCTAAATCAAATTCAATTTTACTCCGTTTAAACAACGTATGAAAATGTTCATGCGAATTTACGAAGTGATCACAGACGTAAGATAACAGTGTTTTAACGTAACGGCTTTGTTGTTCCGTGTTGCTATTTTCCTGATTAACGAAACATGGCAAAGATTCTCGGAGAGTTCCTGGGTATACACAAGGACACACCTGCCCAGGACAACACAGGTATCGCCACTCACCATGACCGTCGTCTGCCTTGTGTCCCGGAAGTATATTTTATGTTATCTTTTAACTGATATGCACATATATCTATTTTCAAATTACATCATGAACGGATCTCGTTTATCTCAAGCGTGTAAAAAATGACATATCATTATGTAAACTTGCGCCTTACAGAAGCAAAACGTTTTCTATAAGGTCTTGAGACGCGTACTTGAAATAGCATCGGTTTCATAGCCGATATAAATTAAAGCAAAAAGTCAGTTCTTTCCTCTTGATTAGTTCAGAGACATGTATGTGATATATACGTCTCTGAGTAGTTTAAATAATATTTTTATTGTGTTGGGTTATGATAGAATTGGAATAATTTCTATAGCAGTGCATGCTAATCCCTGAAAACAGGTTTATCTTAGAAGCTATTCAATGCAATATGACCCCCCCCCCCCCCCCCCTCCGATTTTTATACAAATCCGCAGAACTGCAATATCTAAACTTCAATTTGTTTTATTCACTAAATGCTACTTTTGAACTCAATACAAATATGCCATTTGTTATTAACAGCAGTAGATGACGTCGACGGTTTTTGCCTCTCAGGAAACTGAGAAAGGGACCATCATGTGGTGACCTGGTTGTATTCCTTACAAACACCTTGTCTTTTAGTTGTGACGGGCCTCTCGCTGATTATTTAGTGAGGTTGTTACCAGTAGCTATAAGGAGTCCTCGCTTCAAAATGGCCACACTGTTCACAAGGCGACATAGACCGCCGACCAGCGGTGCGCCGGCCTGGGTTAAGTACAGTGTGTCAGGAGCACAGGTGTACTATATATACACCTTACGGTATACATATGTATGTTTTGGGGTAGTTATGACGACACCCGTGTTAACCCGGTGGTACCGTTGAGCGGCCACGGTTGGAAGGCTGTCATGCTCTAGTTTCGCTTTTGAGACCGGTCAAGAGAAGTAAAAGATGGGGTCCCTTTGATTCTTCCGGACACGTTTCCTTTGGAATACCGATGGCCACCCAAGGATATTCACTGACGGGCGGCATGGCCGTATGTCCGTGGAACGTCCTGTATATAGCCCGGGTAAGTCACACCTCACGTGTTTGAAAATACAACAAATACTATGTTAACTAGCAGGCATTGTAAAGGTAATCTAATTGCGGACACTTGTCATTAGTGAAAGCCGTGTGATTTACACGGGCCAACACCTCGACAAATCAAGGGTTGTCTGTGGCATACCTATTGATCAGATCATTTCTGGTCTTTCATAATGATGCCCTGACCTACTAAAGTCAACTGGCCATGAATTAACCATGAGAAGCTGGGGCCTTGGTGTAAGCTGACGGTACAGGTAAGTATTTACCGGTAAGGTCACTTACATCAAGTAGCAAAAATATATAACTTTTAAGAAAATTATACGTCCCTTATAAAAGGTAGATTTTGGTTTACTACAGGAACCTGTGGGAACTTGTGCAAGTCTATATAGATGAATGTGTGCATTGGGATGGCGTGATATATAGGTAGGGTTAACGATGGTCCCGATCTGTACTCAAATACCACGCGATACACTGTATGCATAAGGAGGGATGAGCGAGGTATAATCGTGGGTTTGGAGAAAGAAAATCCGGGGACGATGAAGGGTAACATTGAATTATCCAACCTGTGTTCGGAATGGGACATTTAATTTCATTGGAATTGTTCAGCCGAAACAGTTGTCTTTTGTGCTGTAAGTTATCCAAAGAAAACTTACATTTATCTTTATAAAGTTTCGCTAGTATGCAAGAGACTGTGGTCAGTCTGTACATAAGTATTGGAAAAATGTTGTGAATTTCCGGATTCAATAAGAAGGTATATAGGTTTTCCGCGCTGCGGAAATACAGTATGCTTGCAAAATCCGGCAATGTGTACTGCATTTGTACTTCAGCTTCCATAGAAATTCCCTTATACTGTTGGACGTAATAATCACCTTCTGTTTTGAATCTAAAGTGTAGTGTTAAATACTCCGAGTCGAGTCGTTTCCGAAAAGCTGTGATCAATATGTAGTTTCTGGAAGTTAAACATTACTGAAAGATGAAAATTGTATGATTTACATCATCCTGTGCCGTGTGTTGATTGTGGATCTGTTGTAATACATGTGTTGTTTTGTGTACAAGTATGGTATCTATCATAAGTCCAAGGTCGATCTTTTGTTTCAAAAAATATATATATCTTATTTATCATGTAAGATAAGATGACCCCATGTACTGTTATATATATATATATATATATATATTATTTAAGATATTTCATATACTTGATATAAGCACGGACTTAGATCTATATATAAGTCCGTGATGAAAGATATCTCATATGAAATTAAATTGATATGAACATGTTATATATAAAGCATAAACTAACTTATACTGTATACGAGATATTTTTCATCTGATTCTTTATAAGGTATTTTTTATATGAAAACTTAAACCGTATTTAGAATATTTTGAAGCACGTCAGAATATAAGTTCGGTATGTATCGGCGGGAAAATCTGCATAACGTTTTATAGGTCATATAGAACAAGTTCGCTCTTCCCGTGTTAAAAGATAATCATTATTCGTCCCTGTATTAAAAGATAAGCATTATTCGTCCCTGTGTTGAAAGATAAGTATTTCTCGTCCCTGTGTTGAAAGATAAGCATTATTCGTCCCTGTGTTAAAAGATAAGCATTATTCGTCCCTGTGTTGAAAGATAAGTATTTTTCGTCCCTGTGTTGAAAGATAAGCATTATTCGTCCCTGTGTTAAAAGATAAGCATTATTCGTCCCTGTATTGAAAGATAAGCATTATTCGTCCCTGTGTTGAAAGACAAGCATTATTCGTCCCTGTGTTGAAAGATAAGCATTATTCGTCCCTGTATTGAAAGATAAGCATTATTCGTCCCTGTGTTAAAAGATAAGCATTATTCGTCCCTGTGTTGAAAGATAAGCATTATTCGTCCCTGTGTTGAAAGACAAGCATTATTCGTCCCTGTGTTGAAAGATAAGTATTTTTCGTCCCTGTGTTGAAAGATAAGCATTATTCGTCCCTGTGTTAAAAGATAAGCATTATTCGTCCCTGTGTTGAAAGATAAGTATTTTTCGTCCCTGTGTTGAAAGATAAGCATTATTCGTCCCTGTGTTAAAAGATAAGCATTATTCGTCCCTGTGTTGAAAGATAAGCATTATTCATCCCTGTGTTGAAAGACAAGCATTATTCGTCCTGTATTGAAAGATAAGCATTATTCGTCCAAAGATGCGTTCGACCACCTTGTGACACTGCTCTTCGGCAGTTTAAACAAAATTTCGTTCCAAGACGAGACTGCACAATATAGAATATATATGTAATATTCTATATAAGACATTATACGGAGAGGTTAATTGAAATATCTTACAGAACATATCGTATATAACATGTGGACTGTCTTATATAAATGAATTATTAACCGAATTGCTCCTTGAATGAATGTTAAGCTGACTTGCCACATTATGTTGGGCCGATCGACGGTCATTGTCGTATATAAGAGATATATATGTATATAAAGTATATAGGCCTCTCATCCGATTACCGGTGACGAACGGGAAGTGCGTGCACAATTGCATTTAACTGGCCTGTAAGTACATATGTACCTGTTGTATCTATCCCACCTGTGACAGTGACGTCACAATGATCCTACCTGTACGGAAGAACAGCTGTCTTTTCCCCCTTGTCATACATGTAGATAACGAACTGAATGTACGTGTAGCTGCTTTCACAATTGAAGCTCAGGTACCAACGACGGACCACTGACAACAAAAGGTTTCCCTACAACCGACAGCCAACTACAGATACTATATTCATAGTTCACAATCGACGTTTAGTGAAAAAATAATTAGTAAACTAAGCGGGGATATTTGTGGACAGAAATCAAGACAAATCTCAAAAAAGGATGAATGGAAGGGATTAAGACTTATACATGTAGATATGCACGAATTCCAGAACAGCAGAATGGAATGGTCTGGATTGTTTTATTCCGATCGAAAAAGTGAAATTAATTAAAACGGTACAGTAACCAATGGCAGCAAAGAGTGAAAAGTTTGACAACAAATAGCGAAATAACAGTTTTAAAAGTTTGGATATTTTTGACGCCAAGAAAAATCGCATAGTGGCCATGTGCATACAACAGCGTAGTGATATTTAAAACATGACGGGTGTGAGTGTAGCTGCGGTCAGTCTCGTGGCTGTTGTATATAGTATGCTGGTGCCGGTTGCGGAGTTCGCGGCTGTAAGTACGGCGGTTATTCATAAGTTCAACATTCAATTCTACGAATGTAACGTCGTGTACAAATCAGTAAACAAAATATAGATGGTTTTATCTGTGATAGATAAGTGTATTGTCGGTTATATTGTGTCTCTCATCCCGTTTTGTGGACCTTGGATAGGTATGTGGGTATGAGCAGACATTTTGTAAACCTTGGGTGAGTGTATGAACAGACATGAACAGATATTTTGTGGACCTTGGATGGGTGTATGAACAGACATTTTGTAAACCTTGGGTGGGTGTATGAGCAGACATTTTGTAAACCTTGGGTGAGTGTATGAACAGACATGAACAGACATTTTGTGGACCTTGGATGGGTGTATGAACAGACATTTTGTAAACCTTGGGTGGGTGTATGAGCAGACATTTTGTAAACCTTGGGTGGGTGTATGAGTAAACATTTTGTAAACCTTGGGTGGATGTATGAACAGACACTTTGTAAACCTTGGGTGAGTGTATGAGCAGACATTTTGTAAACCTTGGGTGGGTGAATGAGCAGACATTTTGTCGACCTTGGTGGGTGTATGAACAGACTCTTTGTAAACCTTGGGTGAGTGTATTAGCAGACATTTTGTAAACCTTGGGTGGGTGTATGAGCAGACATTTTGTAAACCTTGGGTGGGTGAATGAGCAGACATTTTTTCGACCTTGGTGAGTGTATGAAAAGACATTTTGTAAACCTTGGGTGGGTGTATGAGCAGACATTTTGTAAACCTTGGATGGGTGTATGAACAGACATTTTGTAAACCTTGGATGGGTGTATGAGCAGACTTTTGTAAACCTTGGGTGGGTGAATGAGCAGACATTTTGTCGACCTTGGTGGGTGTATGAACAGACTCTTTGTAAACCTTGGGTGAGTGTATGAACAGACATTTTGTAAACCTTGGGTGGGTGTATGAACAGACATTTTGTAAACCTTGGGTGAGTGTATGAACAGACATTTTGCAGACATTGTGTGGCTGTATGAACATACATTTTATAACCCTTGGGTGGGTGTATTAATAGACATGTTGTCGAACTTGGGTGGGCTTGATATGAGTCATGTTACAATGCTGTTACAACATAAGTATCAATATATCTAATCATATCAGGTTGTATCACGCCAGACAACAGATGTCGACAGCAGTAATTTGATTGATTTTTTTCACATTTTTTCTCAGTATTGCATTTCATATACGTCATGTATATAGTTTGATTTGCAAATAAATGTAAAAGTTTTCAGGTTTCAACAGATATTTAAACATTAAATACAACGGTCAACAATGTTTATTTAAACTAAGTAATTATCAGCGGTTCCAACTTCGTTAGGCCAAGACTGTACAATGCGATGTTCTTCTTTTAATGGTGTTTAATGCGATATCCTTCATGTAAGTGCAATAGAAAGGTGTAATGAAAAACATCTTGCCACCGCTGGGGTTCGAACTTCGGTCGCTAGCCGGACACTGTACCGCTGGGGTTCGAACTTCGGTCGCTAGCCGGACACTGTACCGCTGGGGTTCGAACTTCGGTCGCTAGCCGGACACTGTACCGCTGGGGTTCGAACTGCGGTCGCTAGCCGGACACTATACCGCTGGGGTTCAAACTTCGGTCGCTAGCCGGACACTGTACCGCTGGGGTTCGAACTTCGGTCGCTATCCGGACACTGTACCGCTGGGGTTCAAACTTCGGTCGCTAGCCGGACACTGTACCGCTTGGGTTCAAACTTCGGTCGCTATCCGGACACTGTACCGCTTGGGTTCAAACTTCGGTCGCTAGCCGGACACTGTACCGCTGGGGTTCGAACTTCGGTCGCTAGCCGGACACTGTACCGCTTGGGTTCAAACTTCGGTCGCTATCCGGACACTGTACCGCTTGGGTTCAAACTTCGGTCGCTAGCCGGACACTGTACCGCTGGGGTTCGAACTTCGGTCGCTAGCCGGACACTGTACCGCTTGGGTTCAAACTTCGGTCGCTATCCGGACACTCGCTAAACTTCGGTCGCTAGCCGGACACTGTACCGCTGGGGTTCGAACTTCGGTCGCTAGCCGGACACTGTACCGCTTGGGTTCAAACTTCGGTCGCTATCCGGACACTGTACCGCTTGGGTTCAAACTTCGGTCGCTAGCCGGACACTGTACCGCTGGGGTTCGAACTTCGGTCGCTAGCCGGACACTGTACCGCTTGGGTTCAAACTTCGATCGCTAGCCGGACACTGTACCGCTGGGGTTCGAACTTCGGTCGCTAGCCGGGCACTGTACCGCTTGGGTTCAAACTTCGGTCGCTAGCCGGACACTGTACCGCTGGGGTTCAAACTTCGGTCGCTAGCCGGACACTGTACCGCTTGGGTTCAAACTTCGGTCGCTATCCGGACACTGTACCGCTTGGGTTCAAACTTCGGTCGCTAGCCGGACACTGTACCGCTGGGGTTCGAACTTCGGTCGCTAGCCGGACACTGTACCGCTTGGGTTCAAACTTCGGTCGCTATCCGGACACTGTACCGCTTGGGTTCAAACTTCGGTCGCTAGCCGGACACTGTACCGCTGGGGTTCGAACTTCGGTCGCTAGCCGGACACTGTACCGCTGGGGTTCAAACTTCGATCGCTAGCCGGACACTGTACCGCTGGGGTTCGAACTTCGGTCGCTAGCCGGACACTGTACCGCTGGGGTTCAAACTTCGGTCGCTAGCCGGACACTGTACCGCTTGGGTTCAAACTTCGGTCGCTATCCGGACACTGTACCGCTTGGGTTCAAACTTCGGTCGCTAGCCGGACACTGTACCGCTGGGGTTCGAACTTCGGTCGCTAGCCGGACACTGTACCGCTTGGGTTCAAACTTCGGTCGCTATCCGGACACTGTACCGCTTGGGTTCAAACTTCGGTCGCTAGCCGGACACTGTACCGCTGGGGTTCGAACTTCGGTCGCTAGCCGGACACTGTACCGCTGGGGTTCGAACTTCGGTCGCTAGCCGGGCACTGTACCGCTTGGGTTCAAACTTCGGTCGCTAGCCGGACACTGTACCGCTGGGGTTCAAACTTCGGTCGCTAGCCGGACACTGTACCGCTTGGGTTCAAACTTCGGTCGCTATCCGGACACTGTACCGCTTGGGTTCAAACTTCGGTCGCTAGCCGGACACTGTACCGCTGGGGTTCGAACTTCGGTCGCTAGCCGGACACTGTACCGCTTGGGTTCAAACTTCGGTCGCTATCCGGACACTGTACCGCTTGGGTTCAAACTTCGGTCGCTAGCCGGACACTGTACCGCTGGGGTTCGAACTTCGGTCGCTAGCCGGACACTGTACCGCTTGGGTTCAAACTTCGATCGCTAGCCGGACACTGTACCGCTGGGGTTCCGGGCACTGTACCGCTTGGGTTCAAACTTCGGTCGCTAGCCGGACACTGTACCGCTGGGGTTCGAACTTCGGTCGCTAGCCGGACACTGTACCGCTTGGGTTCAAACTTCGATCGCTAGCCGGACACTGTACCGCTGGGGTTCGAACTTCGGTCGCTAGCCGGGCACTGTACCGCTTGGGTTCAAACTTCGGTCGCTAGCCGGACACTGTACCGCTTGGGTTCAAACTTCGGTCGCTATCCGGACACTGTACCGCTGGGGTTCAAACTTCGGTCGCTATCCGGACACTATACCGCTGGGGTTCGAACTTCGGTCGCTATCCGGACACTGTACCGCTTGGGTTCAAACTTCGGTCGCTAGCCGGACACTGTACCGCTTGGGTTCAAACTTCGGTCGCTAGCCGGACACTGTACCGCTGGGGTTCGAACTTCGGTCGCTAGCCGGACACTGTACCGCTTGGGTTCAAACTTCGGTCGCTATCCGGACACTGTACCGCTTGGGTTCAAACTTCGGTCGCTAGCCGGACACTGTACCGCTGGGGTTCGAACTTCGGTCGCTAGCCGGACACTGTACCGCTTGGGTTCAAACTTCGATCGCTAGCCGGACACTGTACCGCTGGGGTTCGAACTTCGGTCGCTAGCCGGGCACTGTACCGCTTGGGTTCAAACTTCGGTCGCTAGCCGGACACTGTACCGCTGGGGTTCGAACTTCGGTCGCTAGCCGGACACTGTACCGCTTGGGTTCAAACTTCGATCGCTAGCCGGACACTGTACCGCTGGGGTTCGAACTTCGGGCGCTAGCCGGGCACTGTACCGCTTGGGTTCAAACTTCGGTCGCTAGCCGGACACTGTACCGCTTGGGTTCAAACTTCGGTCGCTATCCGGACACTGTACCGCTGGGGTTCAAACTTCGGTCGCTATCCGGACACTATACCGCTGGGGTTCGAACTTCGGTCGCTATCCGGACACTGTACCGCTTGGGTTCAAACTTCGGTCGCTAGCCGGACACTGTACCGCTGGGGTTCGAACTTCGGTCGCTAGCCGGGCACTGTACCGCTGGGGTTCAAACTTAGGTCGCTAGCTAGACACTATACAACTCGGCTTAAGTTACATGAGGCTAGTAAGGCGATCTGTACTCTCAACTTCTACAGAAGTATCAAATGAATATTATTCAACACCATTTAATAAGGAAAGTATCCGCATTGAACACAAATAAAGAATAGCATCACATTGAACGCAATTGAATTGAACCCTGTTATAATGAACACAATGGATTTGCGAAGTTCAAGCGGTTGTAACAGCTACCGAAACTTCATTCATGTGTTTATTTAGGTTATAAATGATACCTTTCATGTTCATTCTAATGTTTTTTCTAACCGATGAAGAAATATTATTGTCTGTATTTTACGATAGGTGCCGCCACCTGCCTGCTGCCCATTAGAGGACAAGAATGAAACAGGTGTTCACCCGGATGTTACGTCACAAGAAGCAGAATGGAAACAGAGACTCCATTCATTTGGTAAGCTCTTGCATGAATTTCTTCTTCTTCTTCTTCTTCTTCTTCTTCTTCTTCTTCTTCTTCTTCTTCTTTCTTCTTCTTCTTCTTCTTTCTTCCTCTTCTTCTTCTTCTTCTTCTTCTTCTTCTTCTTCTTCTTCTTCTTCTTCTTCTTCTTTCTTCTTCTTCTTCTTCTTTCTTCCTCTTCTTCTTCTTCTTCTTCTTCTTCTTCTTCTTCTTCTTCTTCTTCTTTCTTCTTCTTCTTCTTCTTCTTCTTCTTCTTCTTCTTCTTCTTCTTCTTCTTCTTTCTTCCTCTTCTTCTTCTTCTTCTTCTTCTTCTTCTTCTTCTTCTTCTTCTTCTTCTTCTTCTTCTTCTTCTTCTTCTTCTTCTTCTTCTTCTTCTTCTTCTTCTTCTTCTTCTTCTTCTTCTTCTTCTTCTTCTTCTTCTTCTTCTTCTTCTTCTTCTTCTTCTTCTTCTTCTTCTTCTTCTCCTCCTCCTCCTCCTCCAAATATATCACTAGATTTTCATGGCCTTTTGTCTGAAGGCCCAAGCAACTTTCAGCAATCTATTGTGACCTTGACCTCTACATTTAATTCAACTTCTTTAAAATACTGTTTTTGCATTGTGTCTATAAACCTAACACCTTACTTAAATGGGTTTCTCGACCTTGGATGGTTATTAATCACTAGTTGTCTAATGGGTTTTAAATATTTGTGCAGAAATTTGTGATGGTACGAAAAGTTTTAGGATTTCGATACATGTATATACACAATCGATATCCATTACTTTCAAAAATGTCTTCCAACTGACATTTCGATAGCTTAAAACACACCATATGGATAAACCCTGGCCAAATATTTCAAAATGTGATATTCGATTCAAAGTTTTAGAAAAAATAAAGAGAGTTTGTTACACAGCAAGAATCATGATTACATTTGAAACATTTTACAGTGATGTTGTCGTCTACTTGTTTTTCATAATTGAAAATTCAAAGACAAAAATCAATATTGGCAGAATGATTTGATCAGATATGACCTAGATATTGTTAACTTTCTTACATTGTTTTGGTATTTACAGAAAACTCACTGTTGATGAGCGTGGAGAGAAGAAGTTTGGCCTTCGCAGCTCTGCTGATGGCGGTGTCCATGGCTATATTACTAATAGGGACTTGTATTTTGTCGTGTAGATCGGAGGAGGCTGGTTGTCAGTACGAACCTTTATCACAGGAAGACTGGGATACCTTAACATCCAGTCTCTTACGGAATGCAAACCATGTAGACTTGAAAACTCATCTTTATCCGGCACCGTTTCGAGAACAGCCGGAAATGTAGTAGAAATTATACAAAACTCCTGTTACCCTGTTATAGTTATGTATAGTTTATATATAATTACTAATGCAGACACTCTCCATGTTATATTTTAAAGTAATTTATTTTCATTTTTGTTGATATTTTATTCGTATTGGACACCAGGACCGGTTGAACGTTGTACTGGCCCTGTTGATACCTTGTTTTCTAAAGTATTGGACACCAGGACCGGTTGAACGCTGTACTGGCCCTGTTGATACCTTGTTTTCTAAAGTATTGGACACCAGGACCGGTTGAACGCTGTACTGGCCCTGTTGATACCTTGTTTTCTAAAGTATTGGACACCAGGACCGGTTGAACGTTGTACTGGCCCTGTTGATACCTTATTTTCTAAAGTATTGGACACCAGGACCGGTTGAACGTTGTACTGGCCCTGTTGATACCTTGTTTTCTAAAGTATTAGACATTAGGACCGGTTGAACGTTCTACTGGCCCTGTTAATAATATTTTTTCTAATTACAAAGATATTTTATTGTAGAAAAGTGGTATCATATTTTATTCGAATTGTCCCCCAGGTTCAATGTATACTATCTATACGAGAGCCTGTAGCTGACAGACCGTCCTTGTCAGTGTAGTGGTTCTTCAGACTAAAATGGATCATATATAGTAAATCATCAGGATGTAACTGATGGTATATATAAAAAATAAAAAATAGTACATCTGTTTCATGGTGCACGATGGTGACAATATTTCATAAAGTTGTACCCGGAAGGCATTGCACTTTAAATGTGCAAGTATATTACAGAACTGTATAACTGGTGACAAATCTTATTAAAACCTCTTTTTCACATTAACATTTATATTGAGTAGCTGTCGTAGAGGTCAAATTTATACAATGTTAACCTGGCATACTAATGTGATTATTAAGTCTAGTGATGAGGTAGTCTATAGAATATTACCACCTGTACTTACACTACTTTTTAAAATCAAGATGCACCAATTTTATAAAAATATTCGTGATGTATCAGCCAAAACAGATTGTCAACGTCCAGAAGGCTTATGAACCACAGAAACATATCTTTAAAAGCCTCGTATGACTTAAGGTTCGATGTAATCAATATATGTCATTGTAATCTATGTACCTGGTGACTGCTCCGTGAACGAGGTGGAAGGGGTGAAATTTTTGTTATATAAGCTATTACTGGATAACAATTAAAACGGTAACCAGTGAACATTTAGAAAGAAACAAACAGGACGTTTATATAATTCCATAGTTATATGAAAACATTCCCAAATATTTTTATACGAATATCATAAAACCTGAATAAAAATATCAAACTTAATGATATTTTTCCTTTTTTTTAATAAATGGATTAATGAAGGACGGAAAAACTCTGAATGAAGGTTAAATTGATGATGTATAGGTAGTACTGAGATGGTGTAGGTAGTACTGAGATGGTGTAGGTAGTACTGAGATGGTGTAGGTAGGTAGTACTGAGATGGTGTAGGTAGGTAGTACTGAGATGGTGTAGGTAGGTAGTACTGAGATGGTGTTGTTAGTACTGAGATGGTGTAGATAGGTAGTACTGAGATGGTGTAGGTAGGTAGTACTGAGATGGTGTAGGTAGGTAGTACTGAGATGGTGTTGTTAGTACTGAGATGGTGTAGGTAGGTAGTACTGAGATGGTGTAGGTAGGTAGTACTGAGATGGTGTAGGTAGGTAGTACTGAGATGGTGTAGGTAGGTAGTACTGAGATGGTGTAGGTAGTACTGAGATGGTGTAGGTAGTACTGAGATGGTGTAGGTAGGTAGTACTGAGATGGTGTAGGTAGGTAGTACTGAGATGGTGTAGGTAGTACTGAGATGGTGTAGGTAGGTAGTAGTGAGATGGTGTAGGCAGGTAGTACTGAGATGGTGTAGGTAGGTAGTACTGAGATGGTGTAGGTAGGTAGTACTGAGATGGTGTAGGTAGTACTGAGATGGTGTAGGTAGGTAGTACTGAGATGGTGTAGGTAGGTAGTACTGAGATGGTGTAGGTAGGTAGTACTGAGATGGTGTAGGTAGTACTGAGATGGTGTAGGTAGGTAGTACTGAGATGGTGTAGTTAGGCAGTACTGAGATGGTGTAGGTAGTACTGAGATGGTGTAGGTAGTACTGAGATGGTGTAGGTAGGTAGTACTGAGATGGTGTAGATAGGTAGTACTGAGATGGTGTAGGTAGGAGATGGTGTAGTAGTACTGAGATGGTGTATGGTGTACTGAGATGGTGTAGGTAGTAGTACTGAGATGGTGTAGGTAGGTACTGAGATGGTGTAGGCTAGTACTGAGATGGTGTAGGTAGTAGAGATGGTGTAGGTAGTACTGAGATGGTGTAGGTAGGTAGTACTGAGATGGTGTAGGTAGTACTGAGATGGTGTAGAGATGGTGTAGGTAGGTAGTACTGAGATGGTGTAGGTGGTACTGAGATGGTGTAGGTAGGTACTACTGAGATGGTGTAGGTAGTACTGAGATGTATAGGTGTACTGAGATGGTGTAGGTAGTACTGAGATGGTGTTGTTAGTACTGAGATGGTGTAGATAGGTAGTACTGAGATGGTGTAGATAGGTAGTACTGAGATGGTGTAGGCAGTACTGGGATGGTGTAGGTAGTACTGAGATGGTGTAGGTAGTACTGAGATGGTGTAGGTAGTACTGAGATGGTGTAGGTAGGTAGTACTGAGATGGTGTAGGTAGTACTGAGATGGTGTAGGTAGTACTGAGATGGTGTAGGTAGTACTGAGATGGTGTAGGTAGGTAGTACTGAGATGGTGTAGGTAAGTAGTACTGAGATGGTGTAGGTAGTACTGAGATGGTGTAGGTAGGTAGTACTGAGATGGTGTAGGTAGGTAGTACTGAGATGGTGTAGGTAGGTAGTACTGAGATGGTGTAGGTAGGAGATGGTGTAGGTAGGTAGTACTGAGATGGTGTAGGTAGTACTGAGATGGTGTAGGTAGTACTGAGATGGTGTAGGTAGGTACTACTGAGATGGTGTAGGTAGTACTGAGATGGTGTAGGTAGTACTGAGATGGTGTAGGTAGGTACTAATGAGATGGTGTAGGTAGGTAGGTACTGAGATGGTGTAGGTAGTACTGAGATAGGTAGTACTGAGATGGTGTAGGTAGTACTGAGATGGTGTAGGTAGTACTGAGATGGTGTAGGTAGTACTGAGATGGTGTAGGTAGTACTGAGATGGTGTAGGTAGGTAGTACTGAGATGGTGTAGGCAGATGGTGTAGGCAGTACTAGTGGTACTGAGATGGTGTAGGTAGTACTGAGATGGTGTAGGTAGTACGAGTGGTGTAGGTAGTACTGAGATGGTGTAGGTAGTACTGAGATGGTGTAGGTAGAGATAGGTAGGTAGTACTGAGATGGTGTAGGTAGGTACTGAGATGGTGTAGTAGTACTAGTACTGAGATGGTGTAGTAGTACTGAGATGGTGTAGGTAGAGATAGGTAGTACTGAGATGGTGTAGTAGGTAGTACTGAGATGGTGTAGGTAGTACTGAGATGGTGTAGTACTGAGATGGTGTAGGGTAGTACTGAGATGGTGTAGGTAGTAGTACTGAGATGGTGTAGGTAGTACTGAGATGGTGTAGGTAGTACTGAGATGGTGTAGAGATGGTGTAGGTAGGATAGTACTGAGATGGTGTAGGTAGTACTGAGATGGTGTAGGTAGGTAGTACTGAGATGGTGTAGGTAGTACTGAGATGGTGTAGGTAGTACTGAGATGGTGTAGGTAGGTAGTACTGAGATGGTGTAGGTAGTACTGAGATGGTGTAGGTAGTACTGAGATGGTGTAGGTAGTACTGAGATGGTGTAGGTAGTACTAGGTAGTACTGAGATGGTGTAGGTAGTACTGAGATGGTGTAGGTAGGTACTGAGATGGTGTAGGTAGTACTACTGAGATGGTGTAGAAAGTACTGAGATGGTGTAGGTAGTACTGAGATGGTGTAGGCAGTACTGAGATGGTGTAGGTAGGTACTACTGAGATGGTGTAGGTAGGTAGTACTGAGATGGTGTAGGTGGTACTGAGATGGTGTAGGTAGGTACTACTGAGATGGTGTAGGTAGTACTGAGATGGTGTAGGTAGTACTGAGATGGTGTAGGTACTACTGAGATGGTGTAGGTAGTACTGAGATGGTGTAGATAGGTAGTACTGAGATGGTGTAGGCAGTACTGAGATGGTGTAGGTAGTACTGAGATGGTGTAGGTAGTACTGAGATGGTGTAGGTAGTACTGAGATGGTGTAGGTAGTACTGAGATGGTGTAGGTAGTACTGAGATGGTGTAGGTAGGTAGTACTGAGATGGTGTAGGTAGGTACTGAGATGGTGTAGGTAGGAGATGGTGTACTACTGAGATGGTGTAGGTAGTACTGAGATGGTGTACTGAGATGGTGTAGGTAGTACTGAGATGGTGTAGGTAGTACTGAGATGGTGTAGGTAGGTAGTACTGAGATGGTGTAGGCAGGTAGTACTGAGATGGTGTAGGTAGGTAGTACTGAGATGGTGTAGGTAGGTAGTACTGAGATGGTGTAGGTAGTACTGAGATGGTACTGAGATGGTGTAGGTAGGAGATGGTGTAGGTAGTACTGAGATAGTACTGAGATGGTGTAGGTAGGTAGTACTGAGATGGTGTAGGTAGGTAGTACTGAGATGGTGTAGGTAGGTAGTACTGAGATGGTGTAGGTAGTACTGAGATTGTGTAGGTAGTACTGAGATGGTGTAGGTAGGTAGTACTGAGATGGTGTAGGTGGTACTGAGATGGTGTAGGTGGGTACTACTGAGATGGTGTAGGTAGTACTGAGATGGTGTAGGTAGGTAGTACTGAGATGGTGTAGGCAGGTAGTACTGAGATGGTGTAGGCAGGTAGTACTGAGATGGTGTAGGTAGTACTGAGATGGTGTAGGCAGGTAGTACTGAGATGGTGTAGGTAGTACTGAGATGGTGTAGGTAGTACTGAGATGGTGTAGGTAGGTACTGCTGAGATGGTGCAGGTAGTACTGAGATGGTGTAGGTAGTACTGAGATGGTGTAGGTAGTACTGAGATGGTGTAGGTAGGTAGTACTGAGATGGTGTAGGTAGTACTGAGATGGTGTAGGTAGTACTGAGATGGTGTAGGTAGTACTGAGATGGTGTAGGTAGGTAGTACTGAGATGGTGTAGATAGGTAGTACTGAGATGGTGTAGATAGGTAGTACTGAGATGGTGTAGGTAGTACTGAGATGGTGTAGGTAGGTAGTACTGAGATGTTGTAGGCAGTACTGAGATGGTGTAGGTAGTACTGAGATGGTGTTGTTAGTACTGAGATGGTGTAGGTAGGTAGTACTGAGATGGTGTATGTAGGTAGTACTGAGATGGTGTAGGTAGTACTGAGATGGTGTTGTTAGTACTGAGATGGTGTAGGTAGGTAGTACTGAGATGGTGTAGGCAGTACTGAGATGGTGTAGGTAGTACTGAGATGGTGTAGGTAGGTAGTACTGAGATGGTGTAGATAGGCAGTACTGAGATGGTGTAGGTAGTACTGAGATGGTGTAGGTAGTACTGATATGGTGTAGGCAGTGCTGAGATGGTGTAGGCAGTACTGAGATGGTGTAGGTAGGTACTACTGAGATGGTGTAGGTAGTACTGAGATGGTGTAGGCAGTACTGAGATGGTGTAGGTAGGTACTACTGAGATGGTGTAGGTAGGTAGTACTGAGATGGTGTAGGTAGTACTGAGATGGTGTAGGTAGTACTGAGATGGTGTAGGTAGTACTGAGATGGTGTAGGTAGGTACTACTGAGATGTTGTAGGTAGGTAGTACTGAGATGTTGTAGGCAGTACTGAGATGGTGTAGGTAGGTACTAATGAGATGGTGTAGGTAGTACTGAGATGGTGCAGGTAGGTACTACTGAGATGGTGTTGTTAGTACTGAGATGGTGTAGGTAGGTACTACTGAGATGGTGTTGTTAGTACTGAGATGGTGTAGGTAGTACTGAGATGGTGTATTAGGTAGTACTGAGATGGTGTAAGTAGTACTGAGATGGTGTAGGTACTACTGAGATGGTGTAGGTAGTACTGAGATGTTGTAGGCAGTACTGAGATGGTGTAGGTAGTACTGAGATGGTGTAGGTACTACTGAGATGGTGTAGGTAGTACTGAGATGGTGTAGGTAGGTAGTACTGAGATGTTGTAGGCAGTACTGAGATGGTGTAGGTAGTACTGAGATGCTTTAGGTAGGTACTACTGAGATGGTGTAGGTAGTACTGAGATGGTGTAGGTAGTATTGAGATGGTGTAGGCAGTACTGAGATGGTGTAGGTAGGTAGTACTGAGATGGTGTAGGTAGGTACTACTGAGATGGTGTAGGTAGTACTGAGATGGTGTAGGCAGTACTGAGATGGTGTAGGTAGGTACTACTGAGATGGTGTAGGTAGGTAGTACTGAGATGGTGTAGGTGGTACTGAGATGGTTAAGTAATTTAGCAGACAGAATACAGGCATTTAACATTGTAACATTGCAGTTGTAATACTACTGGACTAAAAGAACAAAGTAAAAAAGAGTATGTTTGTCCTGGAACAATGGATGACAAACGAAATAGAACTACATGGATATCTGTTACCCCGCATACATAATACGTCATATTTCTATCGTCGACCAACTTATGTAGAGAACGCGAGTTTAACGTCTAACCTAGGCATGGATACGTCCTTTGACGGTACACAAGATTCTTATATCTTTCCTCCAAGGAACGGAGAAAAGGACAACACAAATAAATATAACATGTAGTTTCTTAAAACGAGGGACACATCACGGAACACCTGATTTACAGAGAAAATCATCCAAGAAAGCAGGCATGTTTTAAACGAATACGGGCCCATGGTAGATTATTATCTGCCCCCCCTACACACACACACACACACACACACACACACACACACACTCCCTCTGATATCGTCTACCTCCCTCACAGAGATACTGTTATTTCTATAGAACAGCAAGTAGTCTCATTATAGTGTAAAAGCTCCTGACTGCTTTTATTCATCGTCATGTAGGTCTAAATATGTCGTCTAGAATGAACACAACCCCGACAACACTGACCACAGGTTAGTGTGAGCCCAGCACATCATATTTTCCTAGTTTTATTAAGGTGACGTGGTACATGAGACATCGTGATGTTTTGACTGACCATCTCTGTACCATCATCATCTGTCATCGAGGTGTCATTAGTTATGCGTGTCAATATTTTATCATAAATGTAGAGGTTATCTCCCTTCCCACATAATCACGTTTGAAAACACATTTTAGCCATGAACTCGTACAACTGTTTCACCCTACTGATCTGATAAATAAAATGGCCAATATCTAAATAACCATCGGAGAATTATAATTAATTAACAAATATTTCGGGTTCTTTCCTCTAGAACGAAACAATTCTTCAAATACAAGAGTTTCCTGTTATAAATATACTATCAAAAGCGAAACGATTTATGAAAAAAACTGTCAATATTCTCGCCAACATATCTTGACATCCGTACTGTGTCATTCTGAGAGTACAGCTAAATAATTATGTGCACGACAAGTGTAGTCCATCATCCTTAAGGCAATATTATTACGTTGACAAGATGACTACAAAGAGAGAAAATCCCTTGGATTTTGAAATTCACTTTCTCTTAGTTAAACTCTCCTTTAAACGCCGTATAGCTTTATCTGAAGAACATAACAACCATTTAATCAGACAACTTATAAGCCTTGACTACCGCCCCACAGCGAGATATTCTCTTTAAACCACAATTAATGGTTTCGTGATTACACAAAGCAGGATGCGTCACAGTTTGATATAAATCCACTGTCTCGTCAGCATTTATCACTACGTACCTGGTGGTACCACGATACACAAACATGTACAATGACATCCTCCTCCCTCAAAAAATTCTTCTAATCTCCTGATGATTAGAAAACAATAATGACATTGAATTTGGAATCGAACAAGTCAATGACTCAATTGATTTATAGAGCGAAAAAAATTGACGTAAGGAATGATGAATCATAGTAATGAAATGACACAGGTAAACTGTCTTACAATACTTTATTCAAAGTTTTACAAATCCAGATAGAATTATCATCAAAAGAAAATAAACCGCAAAATTTAGGTGTCGCGAAAATATCTTGTTATTCTGTATAACTCAAATCTCGAAGATGTATTGTTCAAATGACGAAATATAAAACGACACATGTAACGAGTGTAAACTGTATCGGAACTCATTACACAAGTTCCATAAACTAACTCCTTAGTCGTGAATGATGTTTATTGAAGTAATTCAAGATAGAGGGAAAGGTCTGTAGAACAGGATGGTAGCATCGCCAAAATGTTTAAACAATAAACGTGACATTGGCAGGGAACCTTGACGTAACTTAAAAAATAACGAACAGAAAGGAGAAAGAGAAAGAAAGAAAACAAGAAAGAAGATCATTAACATCCCAAGTTTTGTTTGGGCGCCTTCATGAAAAGTATATGTTATGCAACTTCTCAGAAAATCGCTTCATTATTTTATAAGATACTGCATATTGTTGTGAGACGGATGAATGGTCAGACAATGAGATATAAAAATATTAATACCTGGTAGCATTAAGCTTCTTTGACAGTTTCTTGTTAACAAGGTTTAAATGAGTTACACAACAGCTTAAGACTTAACAGAGCGCTCTGACCAGTAATGGGAAAGATTATCTCGAAAATGACCACCACAAGCACTCGTAACAATGGGCAATAATTAAACGGCCTATTGTAAATAGTAATAACCCGCCTTTCATTTACCAAATCTTGTCTGAATCGTCAGTCCATGTCACAGCCGGTCATCATTAAGGCCATATAAAGACGGACTTGAAAATTGTTTGTATTATTTGTTAGCCAACAATTGGTAGCAAGTGTAAAATACTTCAATTTAAGGTTATCAATCAATCTTAAGCAAGATGCAGTTTGTAAACACTCCAACGACTGGACGACGTCTTCTGGTACCGTTAGCCAGTGATGTGGCAAGACTACGGCGATCGCCAGTGGAGTTAATTCTCAGATCGTCATCATTTTCGCGCGGTTTTGACGCTGTACCGAATGAAGAGGACGTTAATATTGAGGACAAAGGAACGTGCGTCAGTGAGGACGAAGGTGTGGAGCTGTTCACGGAGTTATCCAGCCGACCAAGCCAAGGGGAACACACCTGTGCGACGGAGGGCTGCCAACGCGTCATTATCAACGTCAGTGGTCTTCAGTTCGAAACCCAACTAAAGACTCTCAACAGACTTCCTAACACGTTGCTTGGAAACCCCTTTCTAAGAGAACGTTACTGGGATTATAAACGTAAGGAATATTTCTTTGACAGACATCGACCGAGTTTTCAAGCTATTCTTTATTTCTACCAAAGTGGTGGACGACTGAAGTGTCCGTTGGAAGTACCGTTTGATGTGTTTCTAGAAGAATTAAGATTCTTCGGGTTTGACCAGAAAATGATAGATGAGTATAAAGTGTCTGAGGGCTATATTTTGGAGAAAGAACCACTCCTACCAGAAAATAAAATTTTGAAAGTAATATGGCAATTGTTCGAACATCCTTGCAGTTCTATCGGTGCCAAATTGCTAGCTATTGTCTCCGTTCTGTTTATTGCCCTGTCGATATGTGTTTTCTGTATTGAAACCGTTCCAGGTTATTCCAGCGACCCCTGTGTATATTACAATCATACAAAAAATATTTCATCCACGCACCCCAGAAAACAAGCAGTAACGATTAACTATGGAGACCATTTTTTCATTCTGGAAAGTGTTTGCGTGACTTGGTTTATTTTCGAACTAGTGGTGCGATTTATCTCATGTCCTTCAAAACTGTCTTTCATCAAAAGTCCCCTGAACTGGATAGACGGAGCGTCCATCATGCCTCACCTGGTCTTCGTCGGAGCGTTCTGTCTGTCTGGCGCCTGTATAGATTCCAAAGCGAGCAATGTTCTGTCCGTTCTTCGGATTTTACGAGTCACACGGGTACTTAAGCTCGGTAAACATTCCCAGGGTCTACAGATTCTGGGTCTGACTATTGTCAAAAGTGTACGCGAACTCGGCACGTTTTTCCTGTTTTTAATATTTGGGGTTGTGGTGTTCTCCACGGCGATGTTCCACAGTGAACGACTTGTTGACAACAGCCATTTTGGCAGTATACCGGAAACATTCTGGTGGTCTATTGTCTCCATGACAACGGTCGGATACGGAGACATGTTTCCTCAAGGGATAGCCGGTAAAGTTGTGGGGGCTTTTACTGTTGTCGGCGGTATTCTGACTGTTGCACTGCCTGTCCCGATTGTTGTGACAAATTTTAACACCTTGTATAGCGCATGTATTGGCAGGGCGCCCATATACTGAAGTGCTGAGACAGATATTCTCCATTGTAGGGAGTCAGGGGTAGTGCCAACTCGAAAAATTTCCGGGATTCTTTATCTGGATTCACGTTGCTATACATAACTGTGCATTTTTGTCTGTCAATAACAGTTATAATTTTGGCGAATGTTAGAAATATACACGTGTATGTACATTTTAAGACGGAGTCAAATACTTTTGATTAAATAAATTGAGAGAGTCTCCAAATATTTTCATTGTTTCCTACCGGTATATAAAAGTATCAATGAATATCATAGATTTAATTATTACATCTCAGATAATTGACAATCTATGATGGTACATTTAGGACATGCACAATGCTATTTTTTAAGCGCGCGCTCGACATATTATCTCTGTTTACTTCCGTCTTGACGAGCGCTCGAGATAATATGTGGAATGTTCAACATAATAAATACAAAATATATTGTACATGTCATAAACGTACCACCGTAACATTCAAATTGTCAAACTTGACAAAATGTGGACAATGTTATCTATTACTGTGTTCAATACTTACAGAATACTGGATCATCGCCATTGGTATAACAATGACCAAAATAAACTTTTACTAGTGTCATGGCAACGCTTTAGCTGTATATATTTACCGACTTCCGACTCTGAAACTAGATCTGTATATTCCAGCGGAAGTTGCAAGGAATTCGTGGATGCAGTTCTGCGTGTTCAAAATTTGTGTGTTTCATCATAATATAGAACAACGATGTGGAAGGTAGACCTTCTCAATCATTATCATTAGCGAGAGTAACCCTTTGAACTTTGTCATATTAGGGTGAATAGTATACTAATTAGGTATAAACTTTCTCCTATTAGTTTGTATTGCTGGATTTTCACACAAAAATAAATAATGATATTCATCACCTACGCCATTGTTACAAAGGGGACATAACCTGTCCTCTCTTCTAATACCTGTCCACCTACCAGTTTCTACTGGCATGTAGGAATTCAATTTACAAAGTAATTTCCTATTTTTAGGACTTATTTTCAACAAATAGGTTTTACAACCGAAATTCGTTTTGTATAAGGCATACACATTTCCCCTTGAAGCATTATTTATATCACTATACCACTTTTGAATAAATTGATCATGTAAATTCTGTTTCAGAATAACTTTCAGCTCTGGTAAACAAGGTAGATACTCTCTTTGTAAGGTCCATACATAACTCAAGCCTGATTCATTAAGTATATATTCTGTACAAAAGAAATCCATTTAAATTTAACAACATTTTTTTCGTATAGTCTGAACATCAAGTTATACCATGTACTGGACAGTTTTTCATTACATGTTATCAATTTATGCCAAAAGAAAATTGTTCTGAGTTTTATATCACATAACACAGGGAAACGCCCTGTTTCTCCATACACCATTAAGGAGGCAGTGCGTTTCCTTACATTCAGCAAACGTTTACAGAACTGAAGATGTACTCTTTCTATTATATTTACATTTTCAAAGACCCATATCTCACATGAGTAAAGCAATATTGGCAAACCTAGAGTATCAAACATCTTAAATTGTAGGTCTACTGGTAATGATATGTTTCTTAACTTACAATAAACAGCATATAAAGCTTTTTGAGCTTGATCACATAATCTATATTTGGCATTTACAAAAGTTCCGTTATAATTAAACAATATGCCTAGATAAGAAAAAGAGTCTGTAATTTCTAGCTCATTGCCATAAAGACTAAATGTAACATTTCCCTTATGTTTCCGTTTGGAACATATTGTAATCTTTGTTTTATCGGTATTGACTGTTAACTTCCATTGATTACAATATCTTTCAAAACTATTCAAGGCAAATTATAGTCCTTCAGGAGATTCTGAAAAGATGACATTGCATAAAGAATAACAAACAGTTTAAGATAAATACTAATGTGCTCAAGGCTAAGGCTATCAAGATGGTGAAGCCAGTTTACATTGTTTTCATATAGAAATAATTCAAGATCATTTAAGTACAGTGAAAATAAAAATGGTGACAAATTGTCGCCCTGTTTTTTAAACCTACACTAAAAACAAACATGTCGGATAACTTATTTCCAGTTTTAACACATGATTTCGTGTTTTGGTAAACATCATGAATTACTTTAAATATCTTACCAGTTATATTATTCTTTAAAACTTTTGACCAAAGACCAGTTCTCCAAACCGAATCGAATGCCTTTTTGAAATCTACAAAAGCACAGTACAATTTTTTACCAGTTGAAAGATAAAGACTACTTAATACATGTAGTACAAACACATTATCCGAAGTGGAATAACTCTTCCTAAAACCTGCACGAGCATCTGTTATGAGTTTAATTTCATCTGCCAATAGGCTCAGCCTATTATTTGATATGGATATGGAAACCTTACCAAGGCAAGATACCAGGGTAATCGCTCGATAATTGTCCAAGTTCTTGGGATCGCCTTTATTTTTATAAATTGGTTTTATAATTCCTGTGATCCAAGCATCTGGTATGATACTAGTATCTAATACAATATTAAATAACTTTACATTTAATGGTATAAAGACATCTGCTGTGTTTTTAATGTATCCATTCACTTTTCCATCTATTTCACATGCTTTATTATTGGGCAGTTTATGAATAACATTTTCAATTTCACTGACACTTATATTACCATTAAGTATGTCACCATAGATATCATTGTTAAACTCAGGGATAACAAAGTCTTCACCTTCTCTGGCATCAGAATTAAGTTGTTTAAAATAGTCGTATAATTCATTAATTTAAAAATCGACCATTAGAATTGCTCTTACCATCTAGACGGTTAATTATATTCCTAAATTCTTTGCTATTATATTTAGACAATCTTCTTAACTGGGATTCAGTATTCTCTTGGTATTCTCGGTAAGATTTATTTAATTCTTTTCTATAATCCTTACTCACCTTTTTTTAGATGTTTACCATTTCGGGGGGTTTTGATATTTTTATAAGTTTTCTTAGTACTGTGATATGCCCGTCTTTTCTCTGCACATTTTGGTGTGAACCATGGTTTACTAGTAATGTTATAATTAGGATGTTTCCTAGGAAATTTGCGTTTCGTGACACCAAATACATCTTTGCAGACTTAGCAAATACACATGATATATTATCAACCATGTTGTCGATATCTTCTCTACTAATTGACTCTATGGGCGATTCAACCAGTCTGTTTAATGTATCATTCATTTCATGTATTACGTTTATTTCACCCTTTCTTCTATCATCAACAAATTCGTTTTTCTGGTCACTATTCCACAGTATAATGTTTTCAGTATCTTTATGCAAAACTGAAGTAGCATTATTATTAGCAAATATTATTTCAAAACTAATTCGACAATGGGCATCTGAATAAAGTGGATCAAAATCCACCACCTGAAAGTTGTTTACACAAGAAAAAACATCAGCTTGTGATATCAAATAATCAATAAGACTTACAGATTTACCTGTACATTTACCTAGGAATTTATCCTCTCCAATTCTGCCATTTGTAATATACATGTTATTATTTTTACAAAAATTTAATCGTCTGTTACCAAAATTGTTTGGTCGACCAGTATCTTCACTGTGTCGACCAAGAGACACATTTAATTGCCTCAGTTTATCAAAGTCATACAGATATTTATTCAATCCATCATTGTTTCTCAAATCAATTACAAGAGATAAATTATCATCTGGTACAATGTAATCACTGTTACAACTCGTTCTTGCATTGAAGTCTCCTAATAGTGCAAACTTATTGTTCTTTCTGGTTAAATTTAACATCTCAGTTTCAATTTCGTCAAATGCTTCATTTGATGAATACTTACTCGTCTCGGGAGGTATATACACACACCCAATTACAAGATTTACATAATTATTACTCAACTCAAACCATTGTACAAATGTAGACTCTGTACTGTAAACATTTAATGAAGGTATTAGCTTTTCCTTGAAAATAACAATAATACCAACAGATTTCTTTTTAACATTATTTCGATGTTGGCGAAACAAGTGTACCCTTCTGGTAGGAACAATATATCTAAATCATCAGTTTTCGTTTCAACTAGGAAAATAATGTCATGTGCTGTGATTAAATCATTAAATTCAGGAAGCAATAATTTGCTTTTCACACCACACACACTTAGAAAAGTAATGTCTAGTTTGTTTAGTTCAGATGTAACACCCGGCGGGCGCCCTCCTGTGGTGTACCCCTAGCGCTGCTGGTTTCCGCTGGAGCTTGGTCCCCCATGACTCTGACCCTGTCCGACATCAGAGGGCGCACCGTCCCATTGTTGGCTGGCAGGCTCACTCCTGTGATGGAGGTGTCTTCTATTAGGTTCAGAGGGGTAGTGAAAGTCTCTCCGTGGGGCTAAGACCGGCAGGTGTGGAATATGTGATTGTGGCCGCTGAATTTGACCGTCAATTACTAGCTTATACGCTTTGAAGCTAACCTGCCGTTTCTGCCTTTTGGCCTCTTTGAACACGGCGCCGTTCATTAATTTCTGAGGGAAATTGTTCGTTCACACTAAATGGTTTCCCCACCAGTTTCCTGGGGTCAACGTCGAGAACCTTTTCGCGGTCTTTACGATGGATGAATACGGCTATGATAGATCGCGGTTTCCCATCACGTCTCCTCCTGAGACGATGGACTACTTGGAAATCAATTTCCTCTTCAATCTCGAGTTCCTCCCGAATAAAAGTTTTAACAACCTTTTCAGTACCATCGTTTGGGTCACCCTTGTCCTGGATACCCCCAATTTACAAGTTGTTACGCATAGATCTAGTCTGAGTTTCGAGCATTTTTTCATTAAGATCATCAAATGCTTGTCGAGCTCGGTCCCGTTCAACCTCAACTTTCTCTATACGTTCTTCCAGGATAGCTTGGTCAATTTCAGCCCGATGTATTCTTAACTTCAGATAGCTCATTGTTTGTTTTACCAAATTGTGTTCAATGGTGGTCAATCTGTTGACGATTTTATCAAGTATGTCAAGTTTACCTAGTTTGCG